AATAAATAAATAAATAAATAAATAAATAAATAAAAATCAATACTTTTGAAAGTTCCTTAGAGAATAACTTTTAGGTGTCTTCACCTTTTTAAAAAAGTTAATTATTGTTTTGTAAGACATGCTGCACTATTCAAGCTATTAATATTTGGACAAGTAGCATAAAAACAATACTTGCAAAACTTCTAAACTTTAAAATTGTATTCTTTTTTTTTTTTTTCAGTGCCAGGCATTGAACTCTGGACCTTGTGCTTGCTAGGCAGGCACTTATGCCACTGAGCTATCTCCCTGACCCTCCTTTTCTGTTTTGTTATTCCACATAAAATAGGAAACAATCAGGCTGGCTAGTTCTGTTTTCATTCCTCCCTTCCACTGTATGACACAATCAAAGGTTTCTGTAGTGTCCACATCAACCAATCCCTATGGGCATTACTCACTCCTGGCCACAACCAGGTCATCTCCTAACCACTACTGAGCTGGACATAAATCAGGTCTGCAGAGAAAAAAAAGTCACACATGTGCAAATCAGTTATCTGGGATTAAAGACAGTGGTATGTTGAAACACTTTCAGAAATTACAAGGAGTTTAAAAAGAAAATGATAAGGTTTTATATATTGTCATTTATCACAGTATAAAAAGAAATAATCTCTGGCAAGTCAGTATTTGTCAGAGTTCCACCATAAAGTGCTGTGGGACTGGAATGAACAATCTAACATTTTTTTGTTAGTTTTCTTATCTATAATATGGCACATTTATAATTAAAAAGTTGTAAACAACATAACTGAATGTACTGTACTCCTCTCTGCCAAACTTAAAACAGCCACAAGTTTACCACCAACCAAGATGTATTCTTTTGTAAGGTAATGTTCCCAAAATACACTTAAAACTTACTTTTCAGCCCAGACATGGAAGGCCATTACACAAAACACTGAGTCCTCCTCCCTCACACTTCCAGCCAGGATGACAGTCTCAACTCAGGCCATACTCATTCTGTGGCCATCTCCATACTGAAGGTCCCTGAAAGTACTCCCCCACAGAGCTGCAAGACTTCCAGCAGCAACCAGGGATAGAGAGGCTGGGCAGTGGGGGAAGGACAGGGCCTGCAACCTCTCAGCTGCCAAGCCAGAAGATGAGGAACCCGGTATTATACAAGCCCTGTCTCTGCTGCCTAGTACCTCATACTTCCATCAGCAGAAGAGGTTCATTGGACACCTTCCACCTCCCAAAGCAAAATGACTCTTGGAAACAGTAAGAGACTTGATTGTGTTTACATAAAGACAAAAGTCAACACAACAGTTCTACACAGTGGAAAGAGCAGTGAAGAGGAAGAAAAAAGACAACTAGTCTGAAAAGAATTTTACCTCAACCTTCACTAAGAGCAGGGAAAAAGATTAAGATATAGTTTATTTATCTTGAAAGTAAGAGGTAAATATTATCATTATATAACTGTATTTTAGATCACAACAGTATAAAATGATAGGTAATATTTGACTATCACAGTATAATAGCATCATTTGTACAGAGATGAAGACCAAAATACCATTTCATTGGCTATCAGCAACCCACGTGCTTTGGTTGTCAGTGAAATGTTTTGAAATCTTTACATGGAAAGACTTTTTAGAAATTTTATTCAAATAAGCAAAAAATCAGATAATGCTCATGTCTTATTATAAACTTATTTTTGCTTCATATACACAAAACACTTTCCTTCTACTGCCTTTAAATAAAGTATACTTTATTATTCTGCTTCTTAAAGTCTAAATATTTCTTAAACTAATAAAACATACCACTAATACTAAGAAGAAGATAGAATAAATTCCCCCCCATTAATCTCAATATATTTTACCTCTAGGATTTTTTTTTTTTTTTTTTTTTTTTTTTGTGATACCAGGGATTGAACTCAGGCCCTTGCACTTGCCCAGCAAGCGCTTACTCTACTGAGCTATCTCCCCGGCCCTTAGGTTTATTATTTCAGGAACCTGTCTTTTAAGGGCCAGTGAGATAGCTGAGTAGACCAACAGCCTGCTCTGGCAAGCACAGGGACCAGGGCTCGATCCCCGTCTTGCCATGCCAGCCCCGCCCCCAGGGCATGCTGAGCCGGCCCAAAGACTGGGCATAGTGGTGCACACCTGTAATCCCAGCACAGGAGGGTCACTGTGAGTCCGAGCTGCGTAACGAGACTCGGTACCCAACACATGAAATGAAATCAGTAAATAAGTAAAGACAGGTTCTGCATTTCCAACGTAATGCAGACGAGGAAAGTTCAGCTCTAGAAAGCTTCAGTGGTTTGTCCATAATTACGCATGAGGTCATTGTTGATCTAGTGCCATTTAACTTAGCATGTGATTAGCGTGTGGTCGCTTGGCTCGTCTGGGCCCCAGTGTGCCAGCACAGGCTCATTCATAAGGCTTCAGCAACTGCTATTTATTGAGGGCTTATGGTATGTCAGGAACTGTTTTGGGGACAGTATATAGTTTAAGCATTTTGTCACCACCAGAATCCTTTGTGGGCCCCAATCATCTGAGTGAGCACGTGCGACACTCAGGAGACTTGTTTGGGGCCCACAGTGGGCAGGTGGTGGAGGCGGGGCTTGCCCAGGTGGCCTGGCTCCTAGACCTGCCAGCCTCCTCCCTTGAACACTGCAGGTCTGCCGGGGAGAACCACACAGAGGTCTCTCTGAGAGACCCACGCTCCAGGTGTGTCTGGATTGTGGCAAGGTGATAAGCCGCCTGCCTCCCGGGGACATCTGCCCTGGCGCCAGTGCCTCTTGCCAGTTTACATCCTTGCCACTCTGCTGGCTTTGGGTCACGCTGCTTTTCTAATGGACGTGGGTCTTTCCCCTCTCTGGTTCTCTCCGTTTAGCTCGAGGCTTTTTATTCCATCTTCACCACGGAGCAGCAGGACCACGTCAAGTCGGTGGAGTATCTGAGAAATAACTTCCGACCACAGCAGGCTCTGAACGGCAGGGTGGTGTCCAAGTCCGCCGTGCATGACGCCTGGAACCATGACATGGCAGACTTCCTAGAAAACCCACTGGGGACAGAGGCCTCGAAAGGTAAGTTTGGATCAAGTACCCTGGTCTGCAGGAAGATTCCTTGTCATAAATTGCTTTAAAGTGAGTGGCGTTCAAAGCCAGCCAAGAATTGTAACTCGGTAAGAGCACATGCCCCTCTGCTAGGAGAAATTCCTCTCGGTGAAACAGAGGCAGTTAGGGGAATGGCTTTAGTTAAATAGGTATGTTAACAATTGCCCTTTTGACTAGGAAGACATCAGTCATTTTTCTGCATCTTTACCTTGTACTTCAGAACTGATCAGCAGCCTCTGAAGGAAGGTTCATGAGAAACGTCTTCCTTTTCAGGCGTTTCCCTGCTGCCATCTGCTTTTCTCTGAGCTTAAAGGTTGGGGCCTTTGACTGCTCCCGGCGCCCCGCCTGGCGCTCGGCTCCTGCGCACTCGGCAGGCTCCAGCCCTGCTTGCACACCGGCCGCAGCCAGGTGCCTCCGCCACCCATCTGACCGTTCCATTCCCGTGTCAGAGAGGCACTGCTTTATCATCTTCAGGCATCGTAATCTTCTTAGTTCTGCTTTCTTGTGCGAAATGAACACAGATTTCTGTCTCCAGAAACTTAGGAGTCTGACTGTCCCTGCCCCCTTTTCTCTCGGGCTCTGGGATTTGTCCGAGTGTGTGCACAGCTTGGTGGTGCAGGGCAGGTCAGAGTTGTACTACTTGGAAGGAAGGACAAGAAGGAATCTTCTCATGGTGTAAAGAGACGGGCATTTCTCAGCCCGGTGTTCTCCACCTTGAGAAATCAGCTTGGTGGCATGGGAAGGTCCCTGTCACGGTGGAGCCACACTACGGCAACAGCACCAGTGGGGCGGGCCATGGAGCCACCCCTGCGCAATCCCAGAACTTGTGAGGCTGGGCAGGATAATTTTTGCAGGGCCAGGGAGATAGCTCAGTGGTATCAGCACCTGCCCGGCAAGCACAAGGTCCTGAGTTCAGTCCCCAGCACACGCACACACACAAAACTTCATAGGATTATCACTGTAAGTTTGAGACCAGCCTAGACTATATAGCAAAATCTTATCTCAAAAAAACCAAAACAAACAAACAAAAGAAATAGCTTCACTCACTGGGAACAATAGGGAGAATTAAGCTCAGAAACCTGTGGGTTTCCTTAGTTCAGACCAACACAGAAAACCTCACTTGAGTGCATTTTTTTTTTTTTTAATGAAACTTAGCTAAAAATAAAGGAAATAACCAAAGCCACAGGCTTCTTCCCAAGAGAACTGCGTGGAGAAGAGCAACACTCCTGGGAGGCACTGCGTTGTGAGGCGCATTTGCAGAGGCCACGTGGGGGAGGAATCCACGGCACGGGACGGCAGCACAGGCGCGGGGAGCTCGGATTGCTGCGATGCACCAGCTCTGTAGTGCTTGCTTGATACTAGGCTGAGCGCACCGACAGATGTGTGAGCTGTGCAGACAGCGCTTGGCCTGTTGCCCAGCAAAAGGAGAGAAGCTTTGGCTTCTCTAGCCCAAAGGGCCCATGTCAGCAAGCCTACTGCTGCTTTGGTTTGGGCCTTGGACCCACCGTGACAGGTTCAGTCTGTTCTGCATTCTCACGGATGGTTCCAGTTGTCACTGTGGCCGTGGCTGGCTCTTAGGGTGTGTGAATGCTAACATAATTTCTGATCTTTGTTGCGGGGGAGATTCCAAGACTGAGGTACAATCCTGTTCGACCTTTTAACATTGTAGAGGAAAAAACCTTCCCCTCTCTCCTTGGAGGGCTTGACAGAGTCTGAAGCCAGCAGAAAGTAGGCAGAGTGACGGAAGAAGGGTATCCAAGGACCACCACACACGTGAAGGTTCACTGCATGAAAGAAAAGTGGGTACTCATTCTGGCTCAGATCTAGACTGGCTCTCAAAAGTCTCCTGTTCAGGAGTGGGGCTTTTGGAAGGCAACTGACCCCAGGAGTGCTTTGCTCCTCCCTGGACTGACCCATTGGCAGGTTCAGGGTTAAATGTGCCTTAGTGGGTGGGTGTGGTGGGAGAGGAGCCTTACCCAGGTGGATGGCTGGGCAGCGCGCATTCCCAGCCCCTCCTCTCTGTGTGTTCCTGGCTGCCAGGGGTGAGCAGCATTCCTCTGCCCTGCCCTTCACACCGCCCATTCTGCCAACTGTGAACCGAAGCCCAAAAGCCAGGCACAAATGAAGTCTCTCCACTCTGAAGTTGTGGGAATAGGTATTTTGTCCCAGAGACACAGTTCCCAAGGCCCCATGGGACCTGGGCGCTCCCTCCTCATAGACAAGGTCAGGAGTCAGTGCGGCACTTCATGGGGAGTGGGCTCTGAGGAGAACGGGGCAGCCTGCGAGCTAAGCCATGGGCAGCGTGGGGCCACCTCCAGCCTCTCCTCCTGTGATAGAAGTTAGTTTTCCCAAATTGATGAGACTTCAGGGAATAGACCCATTCCGCTCCTTCTGGAGGCTGACCTCAGGCAGACAAGGGCAGCTTGGAGGTAGCCCATGCCCTGCCTTCACCAGATGCCCTGTTTAAGGTCCAAACTGGCCTATTTGGGTGTTGTCCTTCCCGAGTGCCTCCGACATAGTACTCAAACGGCGCATGCCCAACGGCCTGGGTGCTGCGTGCGCCTGACATGGTGTACTTCCACAAACCGACCGCTCCCAACTAATGAGCCCTCAGGGCAGTCAACTATCAGCCCCGGCGTGCCGGCAGTGACCCCAGCCCTCCCTAATGGCAGCCACTGCCAGAGATTAGCTGTGGCTGTTTGCACATTTCGGAGACAGGGAATCCTCCACCTAGAGCTCCTCTGGAGTCAAGCTTCTTCAGCCGCAGGTTGGCCTTGAAAGTGCTCGGTGTTGTCGCGCGGAGCTGTTTTCGTTCTTTCCTGCTGCTAAACCCCGGTGCTGCACGACTGCTTCAGATCTCATTTACCCCTCAAGCACATCTGAGTTTGTGGGGTTTGTCCAGGTCATAGTGATCATATTGGGCGTGTCTTTTAACAGACACGTAGACAGGTCTCTGGGTGTCTCACAGGAGTGGAACAGCTCCATGCTCAGGTCCTTGAGTTTAGGTGTGGATAGACAGTTTTCCAGAGGCCCTGAGCATGTGCTTCACACTCCTGCCCACAGTAGGACAAAGGCTCCCCCACCCCACGCTGAGGCTGGAACCCAGGGCTGCACCCGTTCAGGCAAGCCCTCTACGATCCCCCTCCTGTTTTTTATAGACTTTTTTTTTAAAAAGACAGTTTACACACTACAAAACTCAGTTTTTGTAGATGTATTTGTTTTGTTGGTACCAGGAGTCAAACTCAGGACCTTGTACTTGCCAGGCAGGCGTCGTGCCACTGAGCTAAATCCCTGGCCTTGTAGATGTACAACCTGGCTTTAATAAGTACATAGCTATATGCCCCAGGCTGTCACACAACCTGAGCACCACCTTCCTGTCCCCCGGGCTGTCACACAGCCTGAGCACCACCTTCCTGTCCCCCGGGCTGTCAC